GAATCACTCAATCCCGAACCCGTTCCATAGCTAGTGGAACGTTGGCGCGGTTACAGTGTAACCGTAGGATTTCCTCAACCCATGATAGCCGAATCACTCAAGATTATCACATGTATCGTCGGCTCCAAGCTCTGCCCGTGGGCAATCAATCACAATCATGCCTCCTCAATAAGAAACCCGACCCGGGTCAGAGATCATAAAGAGGAGATCTAATTCAATGCAATCATCGGGATATCACCTCAAAACTCGCTACAATCACACGCTCAACCTCATCCCGGCCCTCCGGAATGAAGCCTCGCGCCATGCCAACTACCCGGATCCCCAATCACAAACATTCATATGGGTTATACTATACTCATATATATATATACACGTCTTGACTTATCGTTTCGGTATGTCAATTCTATTACATTTACTTTATTATTTTATCCTCCGATCCGATCAAATTGGGTTCCGACCATCTCGGATTACCAATACAACTTGTTCCGAAGGTTTTACTTACCGTAGGTTGGTTTCATTCGAGTTTTGTGAGATTCGGGTGAGGAATGGGTCAAGGTAGGTCAGGTGTAGAGGTCGGTTGCATCGGATCTCGCTCGATCCGACAAAACGAGCCAAAACGGGGAGACAGAGGTCCGGAACGGATGGTCTGCCCCGTCTGGAATGGACGGTCCTGGTGGTCTGGTCCCTCCGGTCTGAGTGGAGCTGGAACGGATGTTCCGCAAGGAGTGGAACGGATGTTCCGCAAGGAGTGGAACGGACGGTCTAGGTCCAGAACGGACTGTCTAGACCCGTCTTCTTCCCCGCGACCCTGCAACCCTAGAACGAACGGTCCTGGCCTGGACCGTTCGGTCTAGGCGAACTAGAAACTTCGGGTTTCGATTTTTCGCACCAAACTCAACATTTCATACCTCAAAATGATCCTATTAACATCAGGAACTCAAATCTAAGGTCAATTTCATGCAATACACACACAAAACACAGAATTCTCCATTTTCAATTTGATTATCATTTTCCGACATAATCCGAAACACTCACCTAGCTCAAATTCGAGCTTGGGGTTTCGTTGGGGATGTTCTGTAGTGTTGATTGCTCTGTTTATTTGTTAATTTCGATCAAAATCGGAGCTTCAATCGAAGATTGAAGTTTCGGACCTTTGAGAGAGAGTTGAGAGAGAGTGAGAGAGTGAAGTGAGAGATCGAATACAGGGGAAATGGGTGGACTTAGGCCGCAAATCCTCGCGTCCTAGAGGAAGCAGAAGGTGTCACGGCAAGTAGGAGGTGTCACGCACCGGAGGGAGGCCGAAATTGCGGCCGTGACTCAGCAGAAGGAAGAGGCGGCGCGTGACCTGGCTAAGCCCGTCGGAACGGACGGTCTGTGTAAGCGGAACGGACGTTCCGCTTGGCCTGGAACGGACAGTCTGCTTACTCAGACGGACGTTCTGGCCTCTTCTTCGCCCGTTTTCCTCGCTCGTTTCGGTCCAATCTTTCGAGTTTACTTGGTTAGGGTCCAATTCAATATTTTAGGGACATTTTTATGGCTCATATTTGATTTTTCTAAAATTCGGTTTGAAAGTTGAATTTACGGGTTATTACAAGTGACCTCCTTGGAAAAATATTTTCCGGGATGTGTGCGAGTGAGGACAAAATATGCTAAAAGGTTTCGTGTTGGTGTATGAGGATAACTTTGACATTCCGTAGCGGTCTCGTGTCGTTATAGTGATGGTTGGCAATAACCCATTTGTCAACACCACCACGGAGAATAAGATCTAATTCAAGAATATTTTCCTAATCCTTATGTGTTCTTCTCCAACATTCCCCTCAAGATTGGTTTGGAGGAATATTGAGAAGCCAATCTTGCAAAGCAAATGTCTTCATGGTTGTGTAGATTCCCCTCCTGCGATCTCCTCACATAGTGGTTCCTTTGGCTTTTGAATCGTAACCCATGTTTTTTTATGTTTTATTTTCTCCATTGCCTTTATGAAATTGTTAAAAACCATAAGGGGGGCCATAGCACTACGTTTGACTATAAAAGGTGAATGTAATGAGGGAATAATATGTTTATCATCAAACAAGAGCAAGAAAAGAGTTCTCATATGCTTTAAGATGGATTTTTTTCAGTTTTTTCCTTTGTTGTTTCTCCATTTGTTGCATTTTTTTGCTTTGAAATCACACGAGGATACCATCACATTCCTTCTCACTCTTGTGCTTTGAAATTTTAGAGAAGACTTTATTCGATGATTGTTTAGGAACACTTAATAGAGCAAAAACATTATCCTGAAAAACAAAATTGTTAAGTATTGGATAATAGAAATAATTGCAAACCCAATTGTTGATCCACATGAAAATAGTTGTTCAATGTTTTTGGATTGATGGAAGGGGTTGTATTTCAGTTGTATTTGATGTCTCATTGGCAGGGTCTTTTTCTTCCTTTTTGAGATCTTTCAAAAGGATATATCGGTTCAAGTAGGTTCATTTCCTCCTCTTTTATTTCATCTGATGCCTAGGTTTCTATGATGGTCGAACCTCTTCTACTTTCTTCTTGTTTCTCATTTATCAAACCAATAAACTAATTAGAATTAAAAAGAAATTCAAGAAGTTGAGAAGTTAACCAAATGTTGTCTTCTTGGAGATATGTGAACAATGTCCCCTTGACTTGCAATGGGAGTTAGTCAAGGATATCTTCGTCTACATCCCATTCCCCCTCATCTTCTTGTTCTATGAATGGTTCTTCATCCATACCCATACCTTCTGCATCTTCTATGGAAAAATTGTTTGATACTTCAACTTCTTCCTTCGAAGACCATACTTCTTCAACCTCACCATTTTCATGCATGATGTAGGTACAATGATTTCTTTCTTCATCTACTAGGGAAACAAGATCATCCTCCCAAGAGTATCTCATTGATAATTTGGAAGATGAAAAATATCGAATGAAGAGAAAATTAATTCTCCTTTCGGTTTGAATAACAATGTCCGAAAGGGATAAAAAAAATTGTTCCCCTCTACAACTTTGAAAAGTGTCAAGAGGGATAAGAAATGGTGATGTTTTCGCCTAGAAATAAAAACAACAAATAAATGAGAGAACAATAGAACAAGCAGGCTCCTCTTCGGTACAAATTTTCATCGAGAGGGAATATGTTTTTAAAAAAAACTCGTGGTATTGGTTGCGGAAAACAAATATTTTGACACTCTAGATCATAGAGTTCTGATACCATGAAGATATCTATGAAAACATTAAGAACGAACATGAGATGCAAAGAGAATATGACCAAGAATATATGATTGAAAAAGAGAGAACTAAAATCCCGTTGCGAAAAAAAATACCGCATTTTTTCGGTTTGGTACTGTTCAGTTACGGTCTCCTGATTTTGATAACACAAAATAATAGAGATTATAAATATTGTGGATTACAGTATAATGTGTGTGTATATTTGTGGATTCTTTATATAAAGAATAATCATATAAAAATCTAGTATACATGTGCATAAAATAATCGCTTACTTTATGTTTGCGGACACTCTGATTCAAGGAATATTAAACATACTTAGACATATTGAGAGGAACCTTGACAAATCACTATTTTGATAGGGGGTTTACGGTATAGGAAGAATTTGGGTTCTGGTTTCAGAATCGGTACACAACAACTTCACATCTGGTAACATTTGGTTAGGGTTTGGTTCGATTTTAGAATAACCATACCCGTTCGGTTTTTATATTGAATTCAATTCTATTCAGATTTGGATTCAGCTTTTCCGGTTTTAAAAAAATCATAACTATTCGATTTTACATCAAATTCGATTCGGTTACAGTTATATGTTAATGATATAACCAATTGGAAAAACTGATTTGATTCTTAGAATTAATTATTTTATAATATAGGAAATGTTTATTTGAAATATTTTTTTTATAATTAATTTATTCAGATCAGTACTACAGTTGTCATTACGGAAGATCCATTTGATTCTTAGAATTAATTAATTTATAAAATGAGAAATGTTTATATTGTAAATAATTTGAGTGGAGAATTGTAGATATAAAGAAATTAATAAGTAGAAAGGAAAAAAGTATCGATCTCATTAACATATTCTCGTTATCCTCAATCAAATTTGAATAAAATAAATAATTCATATCGATTTTATCGAAAAGTCCATTCATACAACTTTTTTAAAATTAAACTAATCAAAAATAAATAAAAATAATGGAGACAAGAGAAATGATTCACATCTTCTTCCGCCACTCAGAATAAAATCTAATTCAAGAATTTGTTCCTAACAGATTGGCTTCTCCGCAAAATTTTAACAGAACAAGACAGTATTAGAGCAACAATCCAATCAGAGTTGGTCGACTGGTGTAGTTGGTTGAGAAGGGTTGGGGTATTCTTGTCCGAGATCTAGGGGTAGACACGGATACTTGAAACCTGCAGGTTTTCGGGAATCCGACCTCACAAATACTCGAAAAACGGGTACAAACTATATAATGAAAACGGAAACGGGTTCGATAAGACCAAAAATCTGGATTGCAGGTACGAGTTCGGATCCTGTTTGGATAGCGGCGGATACCCTCATCATATCTTTGATATTTTAATATATTTACAATCATTATTAAATATATTTTAAAATTAAATTACTAAAATATTCCTAAAATCAATAAAAGTCAACGTTTGCTAAAGATTTGGACGGATTCAGATATCCTTAGGTAATCGAATTCAAAGATGAGTAGCCAAGCCGCGAATAACCGAGATTCACAAAAACGAAAATGAGATAATGTCTTTTCAAAACCCGTGAAAACGAAGACGAAGTTCAGGTATTCCAAAAAATCAGGATACCTGACCCATGTCCACTACTACCGAGATCATATGTTCGAGTGGCCATCCGGGAGGAGGTGCGTAATTTAATTGCCATACAAAGGTTGTTATTCAGACTTGTTAGATATAGTTGGATCGAATAGATGTAATTGAGTCTCGAAGGCTTGTGAACTTTCGAATTATGAAAAAAAAAATAGTAGGACAAGAAGGCGAATTGCTCATTGATCGTAAGATTCTTTTAGACTAAGCAAGAAGAACAAATATTTTGAAATCTCTCGTAAAAGGGATAACATCGGAAGATCCATAACGAAACCCTAATTGATGATCATTCATATATAGCATGTGTCTTTTAGACTAAACAAGAACAATGCAGTTCCAAAACATACTGGCTTCATCCTTGGACTGACCAAAGCTGCAACACCACACACAGATAGGGTTTCATACCGAACTGCTCACTACCCTTTCGGAGGACGGAAATAACTATAGGCCGCAAAGAAGGCTTGGATCACCGTAAGGATAAGAAGCGTTAATGCAGCACAAGACGATATGCATGTCCACGGACTATAGAAATGAGTGAGCTTGAACTCCGCCCAGTTTACGTGCCACCCTTTCGAAGTATACTCGTTAATTCCTTCAAACACTTCCACCAAGTAACTTGCGCCTAAGTAGAACGGAATGTCTTTCCCGATGCTCTTGAAGAATACCGAGACTTCACACTCGGTCCCAAAATAGTTCTCTACGATCCCTCTTTCGGTTAGGAATGTTGCATCGACCTCGGAGTTTATGAGGCATCCCAAGAAAACCACGTAACTCGTAATGTGGCTCGTGGAATCTGTATTGAACTGCTCAAATGCAACAAAGTTAAGGAGCATTGAGTTGATAAAGTCGTCCACTCGTAATGGAGGTATCTGAAGAATGCCGTTATCGTATCTGATGTCCAATAACGTGTCAGCGTTCTTCTTCGGCCTGAATTTTATTCCCCGGAGATGAAGTTTTTTGGCAGATAGAATTAATCTGTGAAAAGGGCGAGAATCCGGTGATGTTTCTCCCTTGGAACCACAGATACTTTTGAAACAACAGTCTTTTGGAGTTTCTGTTTCAGATTCCTCCTTGGAATCACAATCGATTCCGATAGAGCTATGTTGCGGTGTCTGATCTCGAGATGAAAAGGGTATGAAAGTTTTGCGAATCAGATCAAGAAGATGCTTCGCGTCGAGATTGTGATGCCTTGACCAAAACTCGTTCGGTTTTTCGATTGAATAACTGAAGAATACAAAGGCGATCTCGTTCAATCCGGTACTTGGTGAAACCAACTTTGATTTCTCGAACAGAGTTTGAAGGAGAAAGAACGGAACCTGGTTTTCCAACAGGAGAAGATCTGTCCGAATAGCGGGCAGAAGCCATGGAATTCTGAAAATCGGATCGTTAACTTCTCTGTACCGAACCTTCCCCGCAACGACCGAGAACAAAGTGAGAACGAAGCAACCGTCAAGAACCATCATATTGATCAGATTCTCAGAATCAAACTCCGTAAGATTCTCGGAATAAGAGCCCCTTATCTGTTCTTCAAGATCTGATACTGCCGCAACCAAATCTTGCAGATTGATACCCTTTTTCCGAGACCTGGACACGAAGAACTCCAAGAACCGATGTTTGTGCTCCTGAATCATCTCGAGCTGTTTCTCTCCGTGATGGTAAGGACCTATCGAAACGATACTCGGGCGATAAGCCATGTGATTGTTACGGGCGAGGCTGTCGGGAACTCTGAAGATGCAACAAGATGCTTCACCTGCCGATTTCTTAAGAAGCTTTGGGACAACATCTGTCGACAGAAAGTGACGATTGTCTTCAAGTTCTGAATTTGGATTCTGAGTGTTCATCTTTGTTTTTTTTTTTTTTTATTTTTTTGCCTTTGATGAGATTTGGTGAAACCGATGTTTTGGCGCTGGGTAAAGATTTTTTCCTGTTTAAAAAAAATAATGATAATTCCACAATCATTATATATATTTTTTTTATAAAAGGTTAATTAAAGGCAATGAGTCCTCAATCATTATATTATGATAAAATATGAGAATCTTTTTTTTTTTAAATACTATATTTTGATAGCAGAAAATATGAGAACCTCGTATTCATGAATGAATTATGGATTCAATAAACCATGAGACAGCTAAGCAATGCAATCAACCACTGAAGTAAACCATCATCTGGGTCAAATCTAGCTCCAAAAATCATGGATCCAATCTAAAAAATTTGAACCGTGTAGTATTTTTCTAAAACTAAATTCATTCTGGTTATAAAAATAACAAAATAAAAACAAAATTTGTACGCAAAATTAATATTTCAAACGAAATCGAATAATCAACATAAAAACTAAACGGATATATAATTTGTCCGCACGCACAAACCTATAAATAGTATTATATATGGTGTTATTTATTATTATCATTAATTTTAGACGTTGTAAGCTATATATAGTCTACCTACTACAAATTCAATAAAGAAAAAAATTTAACTATTCATTCAATCTATCATTTTATTTACAAATGTACTGAGATTTAATAATATAAAAAATCTTCCAAAATTTTGATATACAAAATTAGGAAGAGGCTCTACTTTAATTTTTAGAATTTAAAAATATAACAAAACATTATATTTATGTAAAGTCCATTTATATATTATGTTTGTTTAATTTGCAATTTTTGTTTTTTTTTTTTGATAAGGGTTGTTGTATTACTATGAAATTTAAGTACATAGTGGAGAATGTTTAAGATTTACAAAAAAGTCAGACATCCAGCAAATGGAAAGGTGTATCACTGGAAAGGTGTATCACCTAGTGAAGGTTTATCCCTCACACGTGGCTCCTGAAATCAGTGGAGAACCAAAAAATATATATTAATCTCTGATGTTATTTTAATTAGTTTCCTCGTACAAACACATTTAGTCAATAGTTATTAATTTTCCATACAATCACAAGAAAGTGGGCATTTTTTTCTTCACACGTGGCGTTTGTCCATCGTCCACGAGTATGCCATATTTCAAATGCATTAATTACATCGTTTAATAAGAAATAAAATAGCAGGGTCAATAAATCACCGACACATGACACTGGCCAACCGACCGACGCATTAAATTACGTGGGACAAAAAATAGTATCATCTCTCCGTTGAAGCGATTTTTCTTCTTATAATTTGGTTGAAGATCCATATGCGTACGAACTCCACACAAGAACAAGATGCTGCTTCTGGAGATAGGAATCGTGACAATCGTACTGCTTCTTTCCATACTATGTACATGGACGGTACGAGAATGTATAAAAGGTACGTACGTATGTATGAAGACGCGTATACCAGTTCTTATACGCTTTAAAAACTGTTCGGTGTATGTAAATATGTATACTTCTTTAACAAAAACATATATATATATATATATATGTATACTTGTTAGGTCCAAGAGTTGTGCCTTCGATGCGCATTAAGCTCTGAGCTTACGTGGAACCTAACATTCAGTTTTGTTTTGGACTTTTATATTCTGGTCGGAGTATTTCAAAAGACAACATAATTGAATCTAACTAAATTTTTGGTCAGTTTGATTTTGCTTTATACGAGTTGGCTTGAATTTTGGATGCGCAATGTCAAAATAGATCTGGTTCGCAAACTAATCCATATCGTCTACAAAATGGACCGAACGGACCAATTCATCGCGAACCACCTCGGCGAGTTCAGAATTTAATATTTTTTTATTATTTTTAAATATTTTATTGTTCGTTAAATAGTGTTTATTATTTAAATATTTTTATTATTTTTATTTGGTTTGCAAACCAACTCGTGCGGTTTAAGTTGATTTGAGTCGAGTCCGAATTTGTCTGCCTTGTGAAAAACCGGCTGCAGTGGTCTGGGTTCAAAACGAGCTAAGGCTGGGCACAAATACCCGAAAATCGGGTATCCGTCGGATACTCGTCTCACGGATACCTGATTTTAGGGTACTCGTAATTTTCAAATCCGAATTCAAATCTCGATTTTTCAATACCCGTTAATCCAAATCCAAATTCGGATAATAGAATTTTTAAAAACGGATATCCATGGGTACCCGACAATTATGATTATAAATAATTATATCTTATATTTATATAATATTTTTATAAAATATAATTATTTTAGATTAAATAATTTCATATGTTTTAATATTAATTCAAAAAAACTAAATTTATTATTATTTATCTCTTATTATCTCCTTTGTCTCATATATTTTATCATAATTCATCAATTTTTATAAATATATCTTCATTTTTTTGAAAATTTTATATATGAATATTGTTGTTTTTCTTAAATAAATCCGGATCCGGATACCCGCGAATATCCGACCATTATTCCGGATACTCGCAAACATCCGGATAAAAATCTTATAGCTAAATACCCGAGCCTCCCGGATCCAAATCCAAATCTCTCAATTTTCCCGGGTATCCGACTCATGTCCACCCCTAAAACTAGCTGACTCGGATCGATCCGACCCGGTTTACATCATTGTTTAGGATGGTTAGTTGGATGCGAGAAAAGATGGTCCGAATTTATTTAGTGAAAATTAATGTATAAATATTAAATATATAGGTGAAGAAAGGGACGGAAGCAGGCGTGAGAAAGACGTAGAACGAAGCTTAGTGGATGAGGATGAGGATGAGGAGCCAAGTGCTCAAAAGACTGAACCCTCCTCCTTTGGATTCAGACCACAAGCTCTTGCATGTGATGATGTCGTCATTTCCAAAAATAAGAAGAAAAAATCCGCAAAGAAGAAGAAAATCCGAAGCGAGTACGTCGTATCAAGGCCTTTCAGCATCCAAGAATCGCAGGCATCTGATAGTGATTCCGAAGGGCCGTGATTTTTTTTTTTTTTTTTTTTTTGGCAAATTTATTTGGTTTTAATCTGGCAAGTGATGTACGGGTTGCTGCGAACGAGAGGGTCTCCTACTAACCCTGACGAGGGGCGGATGCAGAAAATTTTATCAAGGAGATAACAAAACAATAATAATATAAATATTTATATATTACAAAAATTAAATAAAAAAATATCGTCTAAAAAATATTTAGGTCCAACAAATAAATTCTATAATTTTTTATTTTTTAAAATATATTTATATAACACCATTTATAATTGCTTGAATTGTATTTTCAGATAAATAAACTAGACAATAATTCAAAAATTAAAAATTTAATGTCTTATGGGTTAGACTTTTTTGAGTAAATTATCGGTTGAACTTTTTACCAAATCAAATAAAAATTTAATAAATTTATATATAGAAAAATTTATAAGTATAATAAATATAAATAATAAATAATAAAGATTATTTAAATTTACATTTTTTACAAATATTTCTTCTTCTGTTTTAGTTTTTATTTGGTTATAATTAAATTGATAATATTTTTTATTTGACTAAAAAGAAAAGTAAAAAACTTGAAAATATAAAATAACAGAAAAAATAATAGACTAATTTTTACTTATGGATTAAATTAGATATCCAAAACTCAGTTTTATTTGATTAGTTCCATCGAATCGATACTTACCATTTGAAACACCTACATTATTTGTTACTCCACTCATCATGTAAAATACAAATATCTGATACCCATACTAGTATTTATATCTACAAAAAATAAATTTCCAAATTCCAAGGTCTAACTCAAATTACGCGTCATATTGATATTGAGTCCCTGGGCTCCTTAGATAAATTGTAAGCTTTAATTAAGCCAACCACTAATATTCTATACCAGCACCCGAAACAAAAAAAAAAATTGAATTTGATTTTTTATATAAAAAATTTAGTAATTGAAATATTAACTAGTGTATAATTTATATGAAGTATTTTATAAATCAATAGATTTTTATAATAAAATTAAAATATAAGATTTTTTTATATTTAATATTGTATAAATTAATAAATTTTTATATGTCAAATGCAATATTTTTAGTAAGTTGGATATTGAATTGATTTTTTTTTCAAATTTAATAGATTTATATAGTAGAAAATTTTTGTTTTGAATCATTTAAATAGTTGGGTTTTTTTTTTATTAAAACTAGTAATTTATTGTTTTTTATAACAAAATTGTAAGATTGTTATTGAATAAATTACATAATTAATGTTTTTTTCTAAAATTAATTGACTAATGAATATAAGAAATTTGAAGTAAAATATTTTAAATTAAAACGATGAATAATTTTTTAAGATTATCCTTATTTATATCTGCAATTTGTTTTCCAAATTCCAAGGTCTGATTCAAATTAGTTATACTGATATTGACCAGCACTAAATCCCTCACCTCCTTATATGAAATGCAGATTTAATAAAATAAATCAACCATTAATATTCTATACAAGCATAAAAAAAACTTCTAAAAATTTTTAAATTTGTAATTTAGTGGGAAAACAATTCCTACACTTTTTAGTACCTCTAATTGTTCTTAAACTTGAAAAAGGTGACTTAATAATTCCGAAAATTGTTTAAAAGCGTCATATTGATCCTTAACTAATTAAATTGACCAAAATAATATTGTTATAAAATAATTCGTGGCGTTGAGATATCAAGATATATAAGAATTTTGTATTATGTATGCAGAACCAGATTTAATAAACTAGATTTAATAAAATCGGTTTGAAATAATAATAACTTGTTCGACGTAATACCTGTAAGAGTTCGGCGTAATGCATGAGTTTATTAAATTCGATTCGAACGGATTTTGTTAAACCGAATTTGTTAAATCCGATTCTGCATATATATTATAAAATTTTGACGTGCTTTGATATCTCATATACCACGTAGAATTTTATAACAGTATTATTTTGGTTAATTTATGTTAAGGATCAATATGACATTTTTTAAAAACTTTAGAAATTATTCAGTCATTTTTTCAAGTTTAAAAAACTAAAAAGTATAAAAATTATTTTTCCACCAAATTGC